GTAAATAAAATGAAAGTCTTTAGCATGCGTTATAGATCTCTTAGAAAATTGCTAGTTAGTTCTGTATAAGTGCCGTTCAATTTATGTGAAATAATTGATAATTCGTGTTGCACAAAACTTTGTTATTCTGCTCTGTTGCAGCAGCAACTATCTCTGTTATTGTGAAGGACACTCATACCATAAAGTTTCAATGTATTTTTATTTAATTTAGATCCTTCCAACTGCCCCTGTTACATGTGATAGCATTGATGAAATGCATGAAGAAGAAGTCAAAAGTGTAAAACAAAAATTCTGCAATGATACTGATATATCACAAAAGGTTACATTCAAAAACTGTCATGATTTGTAAAAGTGTAATAGCACATTTGCACATATATACCCTAACCCTAACCGTACATCCTGTGTCCGAAGTGCAGGAGTCACCATTGAGTCACCACTGAGTCACCACTATGGTGATAGCAGGGAGGGCACATTGTATTTACACTTTGTGTATATACACTTGTTTATATATGATTTACAAAAACACGTGGATACAGAAAGAAAATAAACAAAACTACAGCATCAAGAGGGACTTCATCAAACAACTTCCACCTCCGAACAAAAACCGAAAAACCTGCCATGTTTGTTTTGAAAAAAGACTAATAATCCTAAAAGGACATAAAAAGAAAATTATAAATAAACGCTCTGAACTTTTTAGTGCATGCCGTCGTTAATTTAACACCTCGTAACGAATTGTATATACAGTGAATAATAAATAATCTGTCAGTTGCCTGAAGATCGCCCTACTGCGTGAAACTCCGAAAAAAATACAGCTATTGTCTATTTATATATATATATATATATATATACAAAGTGTATAACAATGTGCCCTCCCGGCTATCACCATAGTAAAATGGTGACTCCTGCACTTGGGACACAGGACGTACGGTTACACATTGTATGGATTGTATTGTAGAGTCACCAGAGCGCTCAAACCTATATCGGTGAGCAATGCATAAAGCGAATGCGGTGAACGTCTCTTTATGAGACTCTCTACGCAATCCGAGAGCGCTCAAACTGCGCAAGCACAGTGAGCGTAATATACAATGTGTATAACAATGTGCCCTCCCGGCTATCACCATAGTAAAATGGTGACTCCTGCACTTGGGACACAGGACGTGCGGTTACACATTGTATGGATTGTATTGTAGAGTCACCAGAGCGCTCAAACCTATATCGGTGAGCAATGCATAAAGCGAATGCGGTGAACGTCTCTTTATGAGACTCTCTACGCAATCCAAGAGCGCTCAAACTGCGCACGCGCAGTGAGCGTATTATATATATATATATATATATATATATATATATATATATATATATATATATATATATATATATATATATATATGTGTGTAGTGGTGTAGAGAAAAATCATAGAACTACAGATTCATCCCGACAAGCCTGTTTCGTGATTGCTCACTCTTCAGGGGATTTTAAATCTGTGATTTTTCGTATATATATATATACAAAGTGTATATACAATGTGCCCTCCCGTCTATCACCATGTTAAAATGGTGACTCCTGCACTTGGGACACAGGACGTACGGTTACACATTGTATGGATTGTATTGTAGAGTCACCACAGTGCTCAAACCTATAAAGGTGAGCTTTGCATAACACTGTGAACGTCTCCATATGAGACTCTACACAATCCGACAGTGCTCAAACTACGCACGCGCAGTGAGCGTATATATATATATATATATATATATATATATATATATAATACGCTTAAATATATATATGTATATATATATATATATATATATATATATGTGTGTAGTGGTGTAGAGAAAAATCACAGAACTACAGATTCATCCCGACAAGCCTGTTTCGTGATTGCTCACTCTTCAGGGGATTTTAAATCTGTGATTTTTCTCTGTGATTTTTCTCTACACCATTACACATATTTACGCTCTGCTCTCGGGCATCGAGCACTGTTTTATACGGAAAATCATAAATTATAAACTTCCTATATATATATATATATATATATATATATATATATATATATATATATATATGTATATATATATATATATAATTTAATAAATTACATTTCTTAAAATGTTGCTACTTCGGGGAGTCTGGGTTTCATACCAAAGCAATCTTCAGGCAATATATCGTTTTCTAACGTTAAATACTGTTTGTTAAAAATGCTACCTTGCAGGAAAACCTTGAAGTGGCATTAGAAGTTCACAATAAATGCCAGGAAATATTTGAAATAGATAACAAGATAAATGAAGTTGATTCAGAGAAAGAGGAAAATATGGATGTGGTTTGTAATAACTGAGTATGACGTTGAAATAATTAAATTAATTTTTTAAAATGTTATTTCTAAAGTAATTATATTTTGGTCTTTTTTAGGTTGATGAAGAAGAATCTGTTAACGAACAAGAAGAGGGAGAGAAATCTCACCTGTCATGGGAAACTTGTGTAGCTGAATTAAACATATTGGCTGAAAATGTTAACCACTGCAAAAAAACTGTCACTGAAACGTTGTAAATAGTGTTTACTTAAGAAATTGTAATGCATGTCCTTGAATACCTAAAGAAGATTAGTAACATGGCCATACGTTTACAAAGCAATTGTGAGGATATTCTCCAAGCTATTTGCACTGAGAAATCTTAAATTGGTGTTTTGGAAGAAGAAAATGATCTTGGGCTGCTCCTTGATCCCGCCGACCGTCCAAAACTGTTAACTGATCTTCGGAAGAAAAAAATAATTGAGGATGGCCCATACCAACCAAAGCTCAATCGTTACCCTGAGAACAGTAACATTGCGTAAAAGTGTATGTGTTAGAAACCTAATCCTCAATAATGTTTACTAATAAACAACGTATGCAATAATAGAAATGATTATAATTTGCTAGCCATAATGATTTAAGGGGTTTTTGTGGGGAACGCCCTTTTGCAGGGCAAATTTTCTCCAACCCCATTACTTCAAGTCTAGTTAAGCCCCTGCCAAAAAATGGTTATTTGCTAAATAACCATGTTTTGGCAAATTGGTTATTTGACATAACTAACCTATTACGTTTGGTTATTTAATAAATAATGAAATTAAACATTAAAAATTCCGTAAATAATAAAGAAACACTTCGCGCCCCATATGTAGATGACCTAAAATGGGGGATAGATAGCTATCTCTTGTCATCAAGTCATATTGTCCTGTAATAACGTATTTGCTTGAAAAGTTGATTTATAGTTTTCGTTTGATGTTGCACTAATTTGATCAAAATTATTACACGGCATTTTTTGCTGTTGTGGGTCTAATACCAATCATTTTTAACGGATGTGTATCGCTGAAGATTCTAGGCTGCTGTACTAGTCGTATTTTGGTGTTAAAAACTCATAATTATAACTAGTCTTAGTTTATTTGGGTTGATTTTCTTCTCAGAAGTTAGTAAAAAAAGTGATCAATACAAACAAATATAGCTACCATCGACTGCACCACGCATGCGTGCCATGCATGCTTACCACGTACGTTGCTAAGTGAAACAAGTGATTTTATTATAAAAAGTCAGCCTCTCTTTCTTTTCGAGATGGGCTTGAATTGACTTTAAAGTGCCCTAAAAGCGTACCGTAAATGTTTAAGTCCTGCTAATTTCAAAGCGTTACCTTTTTTTTATAAAATGTTGACGGAGTTTTATAAAACGCAACTTAACATCAAGTCTGCCTCAAATGTTAAATATTTCAAAATGTTGAAAAGTTGAAAATTTCTATTTTTGCGGGGAAGTTGAGCTGATAAAGTAAATTGTAAGGGTATAAATTGATAAGTGCCATAGACTTGGGAATGAAAGGAAACGAGTCTTCACGGAAAACGTGCATCATATAGAATAGAGATGTGTCCTTAAGTGTTAGCATAGAAAGAGTAAGGAATTCCAAATGTGTAACAGGTAAATTTAACAATCATATTTTTGACATGTTAACTTAACTTCTTTGCAATTGTGCTTTATTCAAGCTTTGTCTAAGGTTTTAACCATATGTGCATGGTTTGTGCTCAGTCAGGTGTATGATTCTATTGTGGTTTTTGGTGTAGTATGGTGTATGATTCTACCATAGTTTTAGTGCAATATGGTGTATGATTCTACCATGGTTTGTGCCCAGTATGGTGTATGATTCCATTGTTGTTTTTAGTGCAGTATGGTGCATGATTTTGCCATAGATTTTGCGCAGTATGGTGTATGATTCTACCATGGTTTGTGCCCAGTATGGTGTATGATTCTACCATGGTTTGTGCCCAGTATGGTGTATGATTCTACCATGGTTTGTGCCCAGTATGGTGTATGATTCTACAATGGTTTGTGCCCAGTATGGTGTATGATTCCATTGTGGATTTTAGTGCAGTATGGTGCATGATTTTACCATAGATTTTGCGCAGTATGGTTTATGATTCTACCATAGTTTTAGTGCAATATGTGTAAGCTTCTACCTTGGTTTGTGTGCGGTATGGTGTTTGTCTCGTTTGGTGAGAACAAATATCTAGGAGATTTGGAGCATCGTAGTTGTAAACAAAAACGTCCAGAACATTATATGAATGATAAATGTCCAGGACGCTGTTTGATTGGTGTGATATGAATGAAATTCAAAGTTTAGAACGTACGTCAAATATGAATATAAACTAACGGCAGGTCCAAATTAAAATGTTTATTATAAATTCAGATGTGATTCCAACACAGCAACACCGTAAACATAGGGCTGAATACAGGCTGTAAATTCATGCATAAAATGCATAATTATGCCGTAAATAGGGCTGTACAACATCCATTTGAAATCGAATTACTTAAATCTTTATGTGATAGGCTTTTGAAAGAAACCAGACGAGGACAACTGAATAAATGAATAACCCCCCCGTTGGTGATAAAGAAGAATTAGAGAAACTATTTCTTCATCTAATCATCCCTTTAAAGACAATATGTTGGGCTTGCATTTTGTGAAAAGCTTCGAAATCTTCAAAGAAAAATGTCAGCAACATTCCAGAAATGTTACAACATTGAAGAAATGAAGAAACATCTACCTTCGCACGTGAAAATATCAATGCCATCATGGAATATTCACAAAGAACACTCAAGTTTCAACATTCTTAGTGTTGGTAGTGGCACAGGAGAAATTGATATCGAAATTACAAACATTGTTGCTAAAGAACTGTGCAGTAATGGTAACTGGGAAAACATCAGCATTTTAAACCGTGCACTTGAGGCAAATAAATTTTCTTGTGCTGAATATGAAGCCAACGTCTCTGCAATGAATGAAAACTCGCCTGCCAGCTATGAAATCATACCTCAAATGTTCAGTGAATATCGGAACAGCGTGTCGAAGAAAAATGTAAAGTTTGATCTGATTCACTTCATTCATAGTTTATACTATGTTGATATAGAGAGTGCTGTTTCGTATTGTATGGTAGAAAAACTGAAAGAGTATGGACGTTTGGTTTGCTTGGTAGGAGACAAGGATAACATTACTAATAAGATTCTAACTAAACAAGCGAAAAATAAAACAATGACGAACGTCTATGATGATCTTGCAACGTCAGAAGGACTAGAAATTTCCGATGAAATAATAAAGCTTGCTAAAAAATAACTTGTTAAATAACTTTTTGAGATCTTACAGAATAAATAAAAATCCAAAATGCGCTCATAAGCACTTCAAAATCAGTGATAATTAATCTAGTCCACTATCAGACAGTTTTGGTGAGCAGAGGGCTTGTGGGATGTAATGGCAAACAACCAAATTTAACACTCAAGGAAACAGCGACCAATGTCAAAAGTTCAACATGTTAGAACAAAATATTGTATGCAAAAAATTGTCGTATGTAAAGCTTTAAGATTAACACAAGATGAGTAGATTATTTCTTTTCATAACTCGTTTCCAAGCTCTTGTCTGTACATAATTGTATACTTGATATGGAAACTTACTTTTTGTCAATATGACCTTGCACCTATACAAACTTCTTTAATTCATTCATATAAACAATGAATTTAAAAACCTAAAAGTATCCGCCCAATTTCTAGTTTACTTTCGTCAGTTTTTTTTACCAATTCTAAGTAGTTTATTTAGGCAGCTTATTTCACCAATTCCTACTTCGTCATGTACATTTCAAAAAAATTGTCTTAAAGTAATGCAAAGGTTGCAATAAGATAATATGTGCAAAAGATAAAAAGGTTCATTGTGCAAATATTCATTCGTCCTTATATAAAATCAAAAGTGAATTTTTTTTTCACCATAACGTCTACCATTACGTTCAACAGACAACTGTTTAATGTAGTCGAGTGTTTCATTGAGTTCCAAAGCTGAAACATTGCAACGATAGTTCTCTGTATTCATCAGAAAGTCCAATGAAAGGTTACCTTCTAATGAGTCTGGAAAGAAAACGTCTGTGACATCACGTTGCAAGTTTACTGAGTAAATTACATAATGCCAACCGTATTTCTTAGCAAACTTTATAATTTTAGCCAAAATTTCCAATCCTTCGGACGTCATAAAATCATCATTGACCTTCGTCATCATTTTACTTTTCACTTGTTTGATAAAAGTCCTATTAACGATGCTGTTCTTGTCACCAATCAGACATACCAAACGTCCATTCTCTTTCAGTTTTTCTACCATACAATACCAAATAGCACTCTCTAGATCGGTATAGTATAAACTATGAATGAAGTGAATAAGATCAAACTTTACACTTTCACTCGGCCCGCTGCAACGATATTCACTGAACGTTTGAGGTATGATTTCATAGCAAACAGCACGAGAGCTTTCATTATTGCAGTGACATTAGCTTCATATGCAGCACAAGAAAATTTGTTTGGTTCAAGTGCACGGTTTAAAATTTTGATGCTTTTCCAGTTACCATTGCTGAACAGTTCTTGAGCAACAATTTTTACAATTTCGATATCAATTTCTCCTGTGCCACTACCAACACTAAGAATGTTGAAACTTGAGTGTTCTTTGTGAATATTCCATGATGGCATTGATTGTTTTACGTGCGAAGGTAGATGCTTCTTTAAGGTTGTAACATTTCCGGAGTGTTGTTGACATTTTTCATTGAAGATTTCGAAGCTTTTCACAAAATGCAAGCTCAACATTTTTCTCCAAAATGTTAATTGGAAAATAAGAAGTGGTTCAGTACTCGCAATCTGTTTTATCACAAACAAAGCTAAAAATGTTTACCACCGCATCTTTGAAGGCTTTTTTACATATGCAGCCGGATTAAGTAACTTAAATTCAACTGTTGTCGTCTAGTAGTTTCTTGCACGTGAGCAAGTGTGAGACGAATTTGATACTGGTTTTTTTAAACATACAAAGGGGATCGGCACAATTTCCCCCCAAGGCATTATTTCATATTCATAGAATAAGCTTTGCATTAATAAAAACTGGCATATCTTATCCGTTCACACGAGTTACCACGTGCAGAGGAATGCTAAAATAAGGGATTACAAGGTGTGAACCATCCCTTTGGAAAGTTTCCAATGTTTAGAATTAGCAATTAAGATTCAACCTTACTGATTCCCAAGGAAATTTAAACAAAATTGAAAGGAATTTGCAATGAACAGCAGCCAAAATTCCTTTTTATGTTGGATGGACTTAGCGTTAGAAGGAATTTAGCATGACAAATACTCATTGCTCTGTGGTTAGTTGAGTCAATCATTCATAACAAATCTGTTCATTACTATGTAATGTAATACGAACATGTAATATGCAATATGGATTAATTTAACACGACAAATTCTCCTTGTTCTGTGGTTAGTTCAGCCATTCATAACAGATCTTTTTATTAAAATATAATGTAATATGTACAGATGACAGCAGACACGCGATATTATAATGCAATTGTAAGTCATGCAAGTTGAACAACGTATTAGCATAGCCAACCTCGATTATTCCAAGACGATCATGTGATAACAATTAATTTCAAGCTAAAAATATGTTTATGAGAAGAAACCTCTGCCTCCCTCCTGTCTTCCCTCCACCATCAATAACAAGAAATTAGCTGGCTAAATTAATGAGACTTGTGCTCTGTTAAAATGCTTTAACATAGATATTTCCGAAGAAATATTTCAGTTTGGCATTCATATTCTATGTGGTTTGTTTGCATATGAAAACATATTCCTTAAATAAGGGTGTCCTCAATGATTAATTTAAACGTTGTAAACGAATAGTTTATGTGAACAATTTACTGTTTATTTTTTGCTTGTTTCAACAAGTTGTGGAGCAGTGTTGCCATATAGCAATAAAATCAAATGATTGAATGGGAAACCAAGGGGGAAAGTTTGCAAGTTAAAGGGTTAACAAGTTATTCATATTATGTAAAGAAATGAGGACTGGCATTAATAAAAAAATTTTTAGACTCATGAAAGTCAAATAGTGTCTAATTATCCAAAACGTTGTACTTGTGTAATTTTTTTATCAATTTTTTGTTACTATATTGAATCATTAATTTCGCCCAAGAAGATTTTACATTGCCATCTAACTTAACGGGATACTTTTATGTAAACATGTAAATTACAATATTTCGTAGTTGGACTTATGTGTTTTGCAATATCTATTTTTTTCTTTTTTTATCAGTTTTCAACTCTGTTTTCATCACGACTTCGGGGACGAAAAAGTCCTAATGGCAGAAGTCGTGTGGAAGTATTTCACAATGGAGAATGGGGAACAATTTGTGATAATGGCTGGGATTTAAACGATGCTAAAGTTGTTTGTCGACAACTTAGTTATGACAATGCTGTCAGGACTTTACTAGGAGGTAATGTTCCTTATGACAGTGGAAGAATATGGTTAGACGACGTTCGTTGTGTAGGAAATGAAAATTATATTTCGAGTTGTTCACATAGAGGATGGGGATAACATAATTGTAATCATGAAGAAGATGCTGGTGTACATTGTTCAGGTTTGTATGTACATAATTGGAAAATAATTCAACACAGATTGACCTCCCTTTTTACATAACTTCTTTGTTGGTCACGCTCTATGTATGAGCATGTTAGGTCAGAAATTTTAAATATTCGCACATATATGAATATTCACCCCACCCCCAATTAAACGTCTAGTTTTGGACCAAGGCGTAACCAACCTGCTCAAGTTATGTGTATGTATATGAATATTTCAAATACAGATGTACGAGCAAGCAATCAATAGTATTAATCTTGTTTTGTTGATTTTTCTCAGTTGATTTACTTAGAAAACAATAAATTTGAAAATGAACATTGCTTGATGGAACAATGAATAAGGCTTCATTAAACAATTTTTTTAAATTCTACGGCTAGATGCAACATCTCCGAATACTGCCGCTATGCATATTAAGATATTCAAATCAATAATAATAAGGACTTTATTTGAAGAGGGGGACACGTAACAGCTGAAAAGCTGACAAACCTGTGGCCCTCTAACTAGATTATACAGCATTACAAAAAAATGATAAATGAATAAATATATAAATAATTACAAAATTCTATGATAAAAATAGCAGGACACATAAAAAATATTCAGAAAGATAAATTAATTTATAAAAAATTAAAATTAAAATTAGGTAGTGTACTATTGCTTAATATTGTTTCAAAGTTGTCCAGGTTTTTATATGAGCTTATAAAATGCTTTTTCACAGCTGTTTTGAATAGATTTATACTAGGCTTTTTTGATATCATGGGAAGGCTGTTCCATAACTTAACTGCGTCAACACTGAATGCCTTGCCACCATCGTTATTTCTTAGGTATTTGGGACACACTAAATTTAAATTGCCATGTCTCGTGGACCTATTGGGAACAGAACTGTTCGTCTTGAACAAATCTTTGATATAAATAGGAACATCGCATTTGAGGCTCTTAAAATCATGGCACATTTGTTTAGTTTTATTTCGTCAAAAAGGCAACCAGCCTAGTTTACTAAAGTTTACAACACTTCTAGAATAAGGGTCTACTCCAAGAATTACTCGGGCAGCCCTTTTCTGTAACCTTAGGAGACAGTGGAGTTCTTTAACGTCGCAGGTATTCCAAACCATGCTCCCGTACATAAGGACGGGTTTAATCAAAGCGTTGTAGTATAAAAGTCTTTCTTTTATTGGAAGGTATCTCTTTATCTTTTTCAATAAACCAATACGCAGAGAAAGCTTGGCCTTTAGGCTAGAAATGTGGTCACTAAATGTAAAATCTTGATCGAGTGTTACACCAAGCAATTTATAAGAGGTTACTTGTTCTATTTCAGCCCCATCAAGGGTTACTGACAGGTGATTGCCATCAACTAATGATGAATGTAGCCTCTTTCCGGTGATAAGTAATGCTTTGGTTTTAACAGCGTTTAAGACCATCCCATTTTCGCTAGACCATTTACTTAATTTATCCATGTATTCTTGAAGACGTCGTTCCAATTCCAAAGGTGCATTATCGATATTAGCGCTGGCTTTAAATGTGGTGTCATCCGCGTAAGCATGAATAGTTGAATCCGATCCAACAGCTTCGGGAAGATCATTGACGAAGATTAAAAACAGTAGAGGTCCTAATATGCTACCTTGAGGAACTCCATTGGTTAGCATAAGTTGTGACGAAGTCGAGTTATTTACAGTGACACACTGTTTGCGATTGAGTAGATAGCTCTGCAATAGCTTTACAACATTATCTGGAAATCCATATGATCTTAACTTTACTAGGAGAATGTCATGATTGATCAAGTCGAATGCCTTGCTATAGTCCACAAAGACTAAGCCGCTGACATTGTTTTTATCAAGGTCAAGAAGGACTTGGTCCAGAAGAAACAACAAAGCAGTATCCGTGGAGTGGTTTTTACGGAAGCCTGATTGGAAGCGGTATAAAAGTGCATTTTCTGTTAAGTAGGTGTTCATTGCATTGAAGATGTGTCTTTCAAAGACTTTAGAAAGAATAGGCAAAATACTAATAGGACGATAGTTTTGAATATCTTGCTTGTTTCCTTGATTCTTGAATAGTGGTTTAACCTTTGCTATTTTCCATTGTGAGGGAAATGTACAAGTTTCAATACAGTGATTTATAATTTTAGCTATGGAGCATGATATTTCAGGAGCTGCAATCCTTAGAACTCTAGCATTGTTTTTATCAAGGTCATGACGACATGCTTGGATGGATCAATGACGACATGCTTGGATCAAATATGATTTGTTCCAGTTCTTGTAAATAATTTTTTCAAAGGATTTATTGCGGTAAGCCGTCGAGCTTTTTGGTATGGATGATACGCTTTAATTTCACATAATTTTATTAGTCGATGCATTTTCGTTTGTAAAGTTAATCCAGCATCTTGAATTAACAAACTCAAAATTTCCGACTCCTGCAACGACAAGATATGATAAATAATATGCCCTGGTTGTGTGAATTTTTCCAAAGCTAATCTCATTGCTATCAATGGCTAAGAAGTTTTTGGTATGTTTTTAATAATGAAAATAATTCAAAATAGCATTAGAAAAAATAGCATTCTTTTGCATTAGAATTGACTTAAGTTTGTTTAAAATGAACATTTTACGTGACACCAACATAAAATTGGCATTCACGTAATTAGAATTCAATTTATAAAAAAAGACAGTGTAACGTTGTTCTGATTGGTCAATAGCTGCGTTTTTATTAGTCTGTGCAAAACAGAACTGAGTTCAACCAATCAAATTAATCAAATTGCAAATCGATCATAAATGCATTTTAGGGGTCAAGTCAAAACGTCGGTTTTCAATTTGTCTGTCTTTCTTTATTGTTGCTTTATAAAAGAAATGATTTTTTGTGTTTACACTGGCTTATGCGAGCCTTAGAGACGTGTGTGAGAGTTTTCGAGTTTTAAATCAGCTCTCAAGTTCTAGCTCCCAAAGGTGTCCTCGGGCTGGCATAAGCCTGTGCAAATACATTAAACAACTTTTATTTTTTAACTAAAGGCCACGTCATAGTTTATGATAGCTAATGCGACACAGTCCATATTTTAATTATAGAAATAAAATTGCAGTCGTATGAAGTACTTAGAATC